AAAACATTTGGAGAAAACGATTCTTTCACAGCAGAACTTTCTTAAATGCCAAGGATTTAAAACATTTTGTGTACAAGGTACTGAAGCCCCTATCTGTCACATAAATTGAGTGCATTTGTGGCGTGCCTGAGAAAGGTGAGTTGTTTATTCCCAATTTTTATCTGACAACGAGTTACACCAGACACATCCATAACCACTGGTGTCAGAACCTTCTGAGTCAGGTGGCTAAACTAACTGATTTTGTTTTCCCTTTATAAAATGTTTCAGAAAGAAAAAAAAAAAAAATAAAACTTCAGTTTGGGTTAAGGCTACAGTGAGCTGTGATTTGGGTTTCAGGAGTGGGACTGCACAGTGTCATCTCTGGAGAGCACAGCCTGACAAACACACAGCCATGTACACCCTTAATCAGTAATTTAGGACACATTTTTCTAATAGTAACATCCAGTCAATCATCAAAAAAATAAAAAAAAATTTCATTACAAAAATCAGTAAAATCAAAATTTAATAAATGCAGTTGCATAACCCCTCATCATTAGGTCTCCCTGTACTCATACAGCACATGTCAATGCTTATTGAATGTTTATTCACCATTTAAAAAAAAATAATTTAATTCACCTTTGTGAAGAATATGTTGTTTTTTTGGTTTTTTTTTTGTTGTTGTTGTTTTGTTTTTTTTTCCCTGAAGAATCTTTATTTATAATAAGAAATATAAGTAGAAGTGTGAACATTTATCATCGTGAATATCCAGATTTTTGATGTTGTCAGACACACCAGCCATCTGGCATATCAATAAATTCATCTTTTGTTTCAATCAGACACAACTGCACGAAGACTTTTAATAAATAATTCACATTTTGTCAGTCTGTTTAACATCTCCCTGAGCGATGCATATGCTGYAATATTTTTATTAACAGATGTTATTATGGAATTCAGGTATTTCAGAATAAAATTGTTATGCAGTTTAAAGGGAAGGTGTTATGAAAAAAGAGAGAAAAGTTAAATGCTTCCAGGTAAATCAATCAGCACTCAAACCTATTATTTCCCTCTGCTTCTCATTAAACATTTGCACAGGAAGTTGTGAAACTTTTTTAATGTTTCATATTCAGTTTATAGGGTAATAAAAATAATATTTTCGCTGGGTATTTGAAACACAARCCATTAATTTCCAGAAGAAAATGTATCCAAAGTGGCTGGGCAACCAGGATGTGTTTCACAGGAAATTACTGAAAATAAGCCACACTTACAAAAAAATGCACTGAAACACTGCTTTTGAATGTACAAACACACTGCTATTTATACACCTTCTGCTCTAGGGTTAGATGAAGAAAWAATTCCAATTAATGGAGAACTGTAAAGTTTTATGCCCTGTATTTAACAGCATTAAATCAGGTGCATGGCGCTGACAGTTGTGATATTATTGCCYTGTGAATGTCATTGTGTTATACAACATTTTTATTCACCTTGACTTCTATCCTATGCATATGGAACCCCACAAAATAACCCACTGATTTCATCAGTGCTGTTACCCCAGGAAAATTCTTATTTTCTCTCTCACTTACCTTATCCTTCTTCTGCTTTTCATCCTGGTAAATTTTCCAGTGCTCCCCGTCGTTGCTGTAAGCGAGTTTGTAGGACCCCACAAACTGGACGTGGCCAAAATCTTTGGCTCCTTGGGTGATTATCCCAGTGATCTTTGTAGGGACGAGCAGRTCAATCTGAACAGGGAAGTTTAAAAGAAAAAAGAAGGAAAAAAAAAAGGAAATGGATTTAGAAAAGTTTCTGTTTCCAGCTTTTTTTGGTTTTTTGTTTTGTTTTGCAACATATCAAACCAAAATGTTGAAATTCCCACCATGGGTCTCCCATGGTGTGCTGATGCCATGACCCGTGATTTTACTTCTCCAAGCTCTAAATAAGTCAATTTACTTTTATTTTCCATTTTTCTTTTACTTACTGCTCATACCACTTAATGGCACTACATGGAACGGACCCACACAATTCTCCATCGTGCTGAGCGTCCCCAAAAAGCCCCAAAAATCTACTCTGGGAATAATCTCTACCTAAAAATCGTTTCCATGTGCTCCTAATAATCAGAATTCAAGGCTGATTCYCCAAAAGCCTTTCCATTTCCTTCTCAGCAAGTCTTTTAAAACATTTTTTGTCATGCTTCTTTTCCTCCTGAAATTTCTTTTCCCTTTATGCCTTTCTTTCTTTTTCAACCTCAAAAGATGAAACTTTGTAATTTCTTGAATTTTCCTTTTTTTTTATTTGAGTTCTTTATTTCATAATATTAGTTCAATACATTTAAAAATGGAAGGCAGGAGTCTTAAAGCCTAATAAAATCTGAGCTTTGAAGTGGTTTTCACATCTGTGATCAGCTCTTTTAGAACCAGAACCCAACACTGAATGTAACAGATTTGGRCCAGATGCCTTGGATTAAAATGATCAAGAAAGAGAATGCAATAACAAAAATAAATTGACCTAATAATGTAATTTCAGAGGAAGAATGAAGGAGTTGAACCCCCGACCAAAATTGATATTTTCTTGAAATTTGAGAGTAAAACTGAGGTTTCATTCTGTGTCATCCAGCAATGTGGCGAGCCAGTAAAAAAGAAATAAGAAAAGATAGATTCATTTCAAACAATAAATGGTTGTGAAACAGTTGGCATTTTTAGTATTGTCTGTTAAATCAGGCAAGGGAGGTTACGAGTAAAAATATTACAGTAAAGTGAGAGGAGTGCTGAACTCCACAAGCAGATGACTGATATGTTTTTATAGAAAAAAAAATAAAATAAAAAAGARAAAGTAGAGAAATAAAGAATCTCTGGCTGACCAAAAGCTGAAGACCCAGTGCTGAATTTTTGGGAAGTTGAGGCCCTTCTGTTGAATGGAATGTGGGGCTGGACAGAAGAACAGATGTGCTCTGAGMCAAAATAAATTAATCATGAGAAGAGAAACAAAAAAATAATGAGCTTAAGAAGTCAACTGATCCAACACAACACCTTTGAAGGATGGACATTGGGACCCTGGGATAGTGGAAAAAGTGCCTGCCCATGGCAGAGGTGGGACTGGGTGGGATTTGAGGTCTTTTTCCACCCAAACCTTTCTTTGATTCTGAATTCACAAAGTAGAAAACACAGAAAAGTGTAAGAGTACATTTATGAGAACAGAAGAGAGAAAAATGTCTGTTTAGGGCAATCAGACAAGGAGATCCCAACGTTTGAACAAACAGTAGCAAAAAAAAAAAAAGAGCAGTAAATCTTTTTAAGGAGAGGAATGATTTAAAATATTCCACATTGAGATATCAAAGCATTAAGGGGAAAATGTCAGCAGCCATAGAAATTCAAGAATTTTGGTTTTACCAGAATGAGCTGATTTATCGCCATCATTACTGCCAGTAGCAATGCTGGGGAACCAGAGGATATGAAAGGAGTGTCCCTGGGAGGCAAAACCCATTTTCTGTGTTGTCTCTGCTCCATGGAGAGAGAGAGAGGGGCTCAATCAGGAGCAGGAATCTGCTTTGGAAACTTTCAGGGATGGTTTGAAGGGGCTTCTCTCTTCTGCAAGGAGTTCACGGGAGCCTAAGTGGACCTCTGGGAAATGAGCACTGCTAATTAGCAAAAGTCTTCCATGAATTAACAAACACCAGGTCTCCAGACCTTGCCTCCAAATATTTTGGAGTCTAAATGAATGGTCTGTTTTTTTCTAAAAAAGATCTGGTAAGAAGTCACTAATTGCTCCACGCTTTCAGGCAGCTTTTGAATCAAACATTTCAGAGTCCACTTCACATTCTCTTTATAAATAATTCTGACATTAGCATTTTACAAGTGTAACCTCTTTCCAGCAGAGAATGCTTCTTGTACTAAAAGTCAATGTCTCTCCTGTTCACTTGAAAAAGTGCCTCCACAAAACCAGTTGTTTATTTTTAAAATGTTGAAAGTGAGCTGAGAGGATTTCACAAATATTTAACATGGCCATGACACTCGGAGTTCTCCTCATTGAAATTCAGAACAGGGAGAAAGAAAAAAAAATTCTCATTAAGATTCAGGGGATTCCAAAGGTAGAATCACAATRAATCTTTATTATCACATAGATCCAGTGTTAATAAAAATGTCCTAGTAATGATCATTTTGTGCTTATAGGACATATCCAGTGGCCTTGCACTCTTGTTCAGAAAATGATGGGGGAATCTGGAAGGTAATTTGACAGATGCTCAGTTTTGTTTTTTTTTTTAATAAGACTTATCTAGTATTGTGTAGAATATTATATATAAAGTGTGTGTGTWTTTATTTAAAAAAATGAAAAAAAAAAGAATAAGTAGACTCCTCTAGGTCTTGACAAATCAGACAGCACAWATTGCTGGAGATGAAGAGAAAGAATAAAGGATTTAGCATAACATTTCCACCTCACATTTTAGTATCTTATTCACTTATTTATTAATAAGCAGATGAGAAGCCTCCAGGCAATAGAGATCATTATTTAAATTAAAGAAATACAGCTTTTACTTTGCAACCTCATTACCTTCYGCCTTGCTTTTTTGTTCTCTGTATTCAAGCTACTTCAGAGCAGAAAGGTGAGGGGAATTTACACCACATTCTAAGTAAATCATCTGCACTAAAGCAGCTGAAATGAAAGTCATAACTTCCCATCAGGAGCACAGAACACTTTTATTCAGTTAGTGCAGTTTGGATGTAACAGGCAATCAAACAAATTATCGGGGAGAGAAGCTGAATTAGCACACAACGCACCCTTCAAAAGCTGAACGTGATTAACAGGATTAGAATGGTGGCTCTGGCTTTTTTTTTGAGTGCAGCAGAATTTAGAAGGAGGTAGAGGCAATTAGGCTGCAAACTGATAGGATCATTAGCTGGTTACGAGGAGAACCACGGTCTGTAGTTAATGTACATTTCTACAAGCAGCCTGATCAAAAAGCAGTTTAACACCTTGTATCGGAAAGGACTCCCTTGGGCTGCGAGTATTCCCTTTTCCCACCTTGTTTCAGATGTTTCTGACAATTCAGAGTGGTTTGGAGGAGAATTAATTCAAAGGAAGCACAAAAACACCTGAGTATGAAACATTTCTGAGGATCCACTGCATGGATGGGATCAGGAGTGCATTTATGGGATGAGCACCCATTCCTTGCAACCTCAACCATTCTTTGGCCCCAAAACACACAGCAAAACCYAACTGTGCTGCCCAAAATGCACATCTTCTGGCTGAATTTAAGCTGAAGGGAATCCATGCTCTGTGAGGATACCCCATGGTGTGAACAAAGGCGTGAAAAGTGAGGATTGATTAAAAAATAACACAGCACTCTTCAACCTTGCAGCTCCATCAGGATCCTGGGAACACCAGGCCCTATTTCATAGTGAAGAAAAAGGTGAAATGGCTCACCTGACCCTAAGGTGTTCATCATTTCAGGATTATTTATTTAAAGTGTTCAATTCAGTCTTCTCCTTACACAAATATTATGTTTCTGTTTCCCAGTACAGCCTACTCAGCACTCGGATTTTCTTGTAATTTTAGATGTGACATTTTCCACCACAATTTTTCTTTTATTTACCTTCGTGATCCTGTAGCCTTTTTTTTTAATTTATATATATTTTTTTTCAAGTCACTCATCACATAACACYGATGAATGCTGGGCAATCCCTAATCTACTTGGAAAATACAAAAGCACMGGGATCAAAAATAAGGAAAACTGGACCTGAAGTAAATGAAAATAAGARGGAAGCACTGCCAAAGTGGGGAAAATTCTTATCCTCAAGAGACTGGAACAAAAAAAGGTTCTTTCCAGCTGATAATTCACAATATGCCTATTAAATATCCTGATATTRCAGTGAGGTCTCAGATATTTTGGGGTGCTTAGGAAAATTGCTGGACACTTGAATCCCACCAAGAGAGTCCAATGTCATTTCAGGTAAAAAACCTGTCCTGAGCAGGTTATTTACTCTCCATTTWACACCTCATGATCCCCTCGATCTTGCCAGGATAAACTGGCCCAGTCACAGCTGTTACCTCTGCCCAAACCCAAAAAGGGGAGGGAGAGGATTTCAGCAGCAAAAAGGCAGAGTTGTAG